AAACTAATACTCTAACAGCCTCAACGAAAAGAGGCTTCAGGGCACGTAACACGCCAATTTTAAGATAGGAATTCATCCTAATAATTCCTCAATGATTGCATCTTAATGAACGACTCTTCAATTCCTATTGAAGGAGTACTACCGTTAACATGACGTCCAAATGACTTAGTGAACGCAAATGCAATCCAAGAGGAAAATTGTAGAATTTTAATAATGTCAAATTTAAAAAATGTTATTATAAGTGACTCGTCAGATCGGATAGTGAACGTATTTAACGTTTACTATCCGATTATTATAATGACATTTTTTAGATTTGACATTATTTATTTAAATTTTAGAATTTTTCTCTTTAATTTGCATTTGCGTTCACTGAGTCATTTGGACTATGTTAACGGTAGTACTCCTCTAAACCATATTTGAAGAACATATCTTGAAGTCAAATTGGAACCAATACTAGAACAAATTTGGTAATAGCAATGTGATGACAGATTGATGCCAAATGCAGGTCAAATCTGTTGTCTAATGCGCCGACAAAATGGTGCCAAATATATTTTAACGAACAGATAATACTGCATTCTTTCGTGAAAAACGCTGACACTTTTGTAATAGCAAAATTGCTTAAGATCTACTGTCAATTTGTTATCAACGCGTTGAACAGACCTGCTCGCTTCTCTGTCATATACTTTACCGACGAATATTTGGTAGAAATGTGCTAACAGTACAGCAATAACAAAGTATGTTTCTTATTTGCGACCATAATCTGTTGTCAACCTTTTTAGTTGCAGAAAAGGTTATAGGGGCATATAATTTCCTACATTTTCTTTAAATATAAAATATGCTATTGTAAAACATATAAGAACTTATGAAATCATACAATGACATATAAGAACTTTAATGTACCAATTTCATATGAAACTAATCTTATATGAAAATTTCATACAAGAATTTTCAGCAGGGTGAAATGATCATTGTGTCATCTATGTCTCTTGTTGGAAAGCTCCCAACGATTGCTTGGTAGGCGCGCCGCTTGAGTTATGACGCTTAATAGCTCCTGCACACTGGACGTGGAAACATTTACCGCGCACCAAAATATAACGAGGTAGCCAATAAGTTTACAGCTCTTAACATGTTTATTGGTTACCGCGTCGCAATTTGCCGCGCGGCAAGCATTTCCACGTCCAGGGTGAAGAAGCCATAACGGGCGCCTATCAGACAGTCACCGCGCGAAAGGCGACTGCGACAGATGGGCGTATACTTGGCAGTACACCAGGCGGATACGTGCTTATTCAGTGATTTTTAGAAAATAATATCTTCTAAAGTATTGCGAAAATTGTAAAATAGGACTTTTCGACTCAGATCAGTCCGCTCTACCAACTCACGAGAAATAATCCCGTAGGTTGAGGACACCCTGTATAATACAATTTTTTGAATGCAATTATGTACACCTTTTTGTACATAATTTCTTCACAATTAATATATATCTATATATATATATTAATAAAATATCTCTTATACTTTTTCTTATTTTCTATATAACAGTATCAAGGTAAAATCATCGAAAAGTGAATATCCTACATGATATTCAATATCTTGTCGAAATATAGAATAAAATGACATAATATGTCTCATAAACTATTTACTTGGAAATAATTTAATTCTTACATGAATACTTATTTGTAGAAAAGCGATTTATATAAAATAAATTACATGATTTTGTTTTAAGATATTAACGATCTTGAAATTTCAAAAATTGTGACCATGGGAAAACCTAGCAGCTGACGCTATTTGTTATCATTTTGTCATTAAAATGACGACAGATAACGTCATTTTGCTATTTGGGAAAGTTTCTTTTATAATATGTATATATTTATATAAATATAGGGTCTCACAACCACCTCACAATACTTTCACAACATATTCTAGAGATAAAGTAAAGTAAAAATCCTAATATGAAAATGTTAGGCTGCAATAATTTCTTGAACAAGTCAAAAACTATTTTATTTTTATAATTTCTATTATTATTTCTGGGATCTTTGGAACATTCTACGACAAAAATCCTAATACGAAAAATGTCGAGGCTATAATAGTTTTTGAATTACAAACTATCTTTGATCAATTATAATTCAAAAACTATTTATTAAAGCTTCGACATTTTCGTATTAGGATTTTTTACTCTACCTCTAAATGCGCTATAAAAGTATTGTACGGTGGTTATGAGATACCCTGTATATGAAATAAGTATCTTTTTCCTTCAAATATAACTTTCTTATGTCATTAAATTAAAAAAAAAAATTTATATTATATTGCGGAGATATCCTACGTATATTTAAAAAAGTTTAAATTATTGAAAGTCATATGTGCGTATGTGTTTTATATATATACATATATATATATATATACCTCTAATTATTACCGGACATTCTATATAGTACATGTTACGGACAAAAAGTTCGCATAGTGAGCAGTGTTGACATTGCCCGAGTTGCCTGCTGTACAATATCAACATTGCTCGGGCCGTGTCAACATTGCCCAATCCAACCGTGTTGGACTTTGCCCTTAGCATATATATTAGACTAAAAAGAAAGAAGTATTTCTTTTTTAATCGGAGCATAAAAGCTTCCATTTTATGCCAAAAGAACAACTCTAAATTTTTATCAAAAAATATTAAGATTTAAAGGTCGCTTATAATGAACGATTTTTAAATCAAAGTTTCAATTTTCCTTAATACAGGTTTGATTTAATGCAAAATTGGCTTAATCCGGATTTTAAATGTGGTTCTGCATGTTTTTTTTATCGCTGAATACGATGCAATAATTCATTTAGCTCTACAATATACGCCATAAAAAATATAGCCAGATTAATGTGAAAAAGTGACCAAATGTCGATTTCAGCAAGGTCCAAGCGTTCAAATGGGTTATTACTCCCCTCAAATTGTAAGTCTGTTCATCCAGAAAAAGATTCAATTGGAATTTTCTCGAGAACTTCCTACAGGGCCTTTAAAAGTTGCATTTAACTGGATTATAAAATGTTTTTAAGGATAGCAAAATTTTTTTTACAAATTCTAAAGTATATCTCTGTGATTTTAATATCCTCAAATCATATGCCTCAAATTTGACAATAAAAAACTCCTTATTAGAAAATGAAATGATTAAGCCATTTTTGTATTAATCAAACATGTATTAAGGAAAATCGAAACTTTTGATTTAAAAATCGTTTACTAGCGATCCCTAAATCTCAATATTTTTTGATAAAAATTTAGGGGTGTTCTTTTGACATAAAATGGAAGTTTTTGAGCTGAGAGACCGATTAAAAGAAATTTTTTTTTCTTGTCTGTCTAATATACAGGATGTCTAATAATTAACGATAAAACTCTCGCATAAGGGCAGAATGGACTAAACTAAGTCCAAAAATCCTCTACCATTTTGCAATTTTCGCAACAGTTAACAAGATATTTATTATTAAAAATTGCCGAATATTGATCTTCAATAATTTTTTACTCAAATGCTATCAACTTTACAGAAAAACACCTAGAGACAAAAATTGTTTATTTTCTTTTCATAAAGCTCTAAGAATTTTTCAAAATTTTTTATCAACTTTTTAGTACTGCATTTCCTTATTAGCAATTATTTTTACCAACGTGAGAAGATACGGTATTAAAAATTCTAAAAAAATTCTCAGAACTTCATGAAAAGAAAATAAATAATTTTTGTTTCTTGTTGTCTTTTCTATAAAAATGGTAGTATTTGAATAAAAAATTATTGAAGACCAATATTCGCGGCAATTTTTAGTAATAGATATTTTGTCAACTGTTGCGAAAATTGCAAAATGATAAAGGACTTTTCTTCTTAGTTTAATCCATTCTCTATGCGAGAGTTTTATCATTAATTATCAGAAACCCTGTATATGTATCCCGTAGAATGTCCAATAATGATTGGATTACTCCTCCTGAGTAGGTAAAGCGAATTGGAAATTGAATCGAACAATCCTGTATTATTTTGTAATTTTCGCAAACGGAAGAATAATTACTCTAATATCATCAAATAAATCATTCCGACCATCAAATAAATACGTATCCTTCCGACGAGTCGCCAAATGCAATCGCGCAGTGAGATACGATCGTTTCAGTAATCGTAGTTGCTGGAGCGCGGAGAATTATGTTTTTTAGCATTTAGTACGTATATAGCTGTTGGCGTTTGTAGCAAACAACTTCCCGAAATGCCTAGCAATCATAACCGATGAGAGTGCATTTGGCATTAAATAGGTCAGGCGAATGCGCGTTCATTTGGCAATCTTTATTAATTAATATCTTATTAGCGATTGCGAAAATTGCAAAAAATTGTGGTATAGGACTTTTCGACTTAGCTTAGTCTACTCTATGTGTCTACAAGAGATGATCCGTATGTGTGTATGTGTGTGTGCGCGTGCGTGCGCGTGCGTGCATGTGTGCGTGCGTGCGTGCGTGCGTGCGCGTAGGTGTGTGTACACACCATACTCAATTATAAGCTTATTTTTAGCTTTTAAAGTAAAGTCTTGTATAATTTGTAATCTGATAGACATTAAAATGAATTTGATAATATAACTTGTTTAGTCATTTACATCTTCCTAATAGCGAATTCGATTGGATGCACTCAGTGTGCAATGGTGCACACTAGAAACCGTCGTACACAAATTAACATAAAAATATGTATTTAGTATAAATATAAAGACGGATTATGAAATCCTCAATACATTTTATTGTGCTGTTGAGTAAAATCTATATTTTGTAATTCGAAATATTTGCATTTTATTTTTAAACAGATTAAATCAGTGTGCAATAGTTTTAATATGTACTAGTGCGCATGAGTACGTCCATCCAAATTCGCGTTATTACATTAGCAAAGAGAAATGACAAAAGAAAATTTTGTAGAAAAAATTTAACGCTTTTAATTTATTTTTTAATATAGATGTACTTTTCGATCGTATTATCAATTACAGGACACCTTATATATGAACAACTTCCTCAAAAGCAACGATATCGTAAACTCCTATTTTTCCACTTCCTTGTGCGGTACAAAGTATTAACTTATCCTGCCTTAAATATTTATTGAACATTATAAGTACACACGTTGTCGTATCAAATCGTACAACAAATACACTCTATTACATGATATCATAATACTGAGGCTTATCAACTTTATTAACAAATCAGACTAACTCAGAGAGAATTATTGTCGTAATAGTCTGCAATTGGTATCTCGTGCTTTTAAGGAGAGTGGCTATATTATTCTTTTCCGTGTCTTTCTAGTAATCCAAGATTTGTCTGCTACATTTCAATATCTATATGAAAAATTGCTCGAAATAACTGTCTCTTCTCTTCTTTATCATAAAAAGTATCTAATGCTTGTGGCGTGTATGCGGCATAAAAATCGATTAGATGAATCCTTAAGTATCGAATGTATCGTGTAAACTTATCATAACAGCTTATGTCAAAACACACCTCAATATTACCAAATGTTACATTTGTCATAACAATATGAAGATATTCCTAGCATGATACTTAAAGCTCTTATAACTTTTATAACACACTTGCGCATAGATAATAGCAATAGCTGGGGTTTTGGACTAGACATGATGTGGTTGAATATGAGCCAGCCGACTTGATGAGATGGATCAGGATTTCAGACTATTCTCATCCAGACGCCTTTCCGTTGCTATTGACAAGAGATTAGAAAATTCCATCTCTAACAATTGTCTTGCCTACGAAAATAATAGTACTCATATTCTTATAGGTTCTCATTACAATATAATTAAGAGAAGTGTAAAGTTCCGTTTGTCGTACTTACCTGTGTATTCTGTGTAGGAATCTGTAAAGTTAATGCAAAACTATTTGCATCAAAACTTTCATCTAGGGCTATGAGCGCACCGTGTACACCCGATTCTAAGAGATTATTTCCATATTCCTACAATTACAAATTAAATGTTAATTTTTTTTATAAATAATCGGTCATAGCGAAATGACAATGAAAAATGTTCTACCTTCAAACCAATCGATTGTACCCATCTTATGACACGATCGTTACTCCAAACAAGTACATCTACATTGGCACCTTCTGCTACTCGTCTTCTTTCCTCTAATTGTTGTCTATCATAATTTAGTCGCTTTAAACAGGAAATACCGTACTGCAAACTTGTTCTGTAAGGATATATTCATAATATTGTAATATCATAATAACAATAGGAATGGCAAGTAACGCCATTTCTAATGCCATTATTTTTGCTGTAATGGCGTAACACCATTACTTTGATATAATAGTAATAATTTGGTAATGATGTAAATATCTTATGACGTTAATGATAACATCATAACAGATTGTAATAGTCACTCATTACTTCCCAGATAATATGCATGTTGCTTAAGATATCTAAAAGACATCTTTTACATGTCTTATGCAACATAAATGTTATTTCGGATATAACGGGTTGGAAAAAAACGCGCGCGCGCCTGCACGCAACTCATTACTGAAAATATTACTTGCAACGAGGTAACGCGTTACTTTTATTCATCACTTTTATTCGACACTTTTACTTATTCGATAAATATTGTGTAATGGTGATGAGTTATTCTTTAAAAGCGATTTTCCTAACCGTAGCATAATTTTAATATTTGATTCGTTATCGTTACAGTCATAAAAAATTGTAATGTCATTAATTATTATTATTATAAAAAATAACGTAGTTTTATTAAAGGTAACAGGTTACTTAACCTGTCAAACCTAATATATTATAATAATTGTAATACTCTATAACGTGTAATTATAAATATAAAAAAATAAACATTTTTTCAATGTATTACCCTGATAAAAAAATTTTAATGAAATTTCAAGAAAAAGTTATCAAACTTGTAATGAAATGACAACAGTAGCTTTATTGAAATTGGAATGTTATTAAATTTCCTGAAATTATAATAAAGTTATACATTGAGAGAGACAAGTCGTATTAGCAACTAGAAATTTGAGGGCAGATAACGTCTCTCTCAACTATGTATTATAAAGTTGTAATAAGAACAATGAATTGTGTGTGTGTGTGTGTGTGTGTGTGGGGGGGGTGAGAGAGAGAGAGAGAGAGAGAAAGAGAGCCCCTATTATGAGATATCGAGTTCATTTTGGGTAATTGCTAGAAATCTATAGGAGAATTTAAAAAAATGTTTTTTTTTTTTAAGGGAAATTAATAAGCTTTAAGATAATGTTATATAAAATTTAATCCAAACTATTTTTTTTTAACTAAAGAAATAAAAAGTGAGCAATTCGCAAAGTCAAAAAATTGTGCTCCTAATATGAGATACCCCGAGAAATCAATAGTAAAAACGCAAAGTACATCAGTATTGCAATTAAAAATCTTTATTTAATGTTTTTAAAATACAAACAAACACAGCCAGTGTGCGCACAAAATGAGCATATGATGCATTGTACCCAGGACTCGTCTTCAGATAGGAACCAAATATTGCAAAAATAGGCACTCGATATTCATTCCGGTTGTCCTTTTTATTATTGTACAATAACATTTATACTTTAGCAACGATTTTCACTATGATATAGGAGCATGATAACACTGTGATAGGAGCATTCTAATTATTTCATATTAGAAATACCCTGGGCATTTCCCTGGGTAAACATCTCATACGATTTCCACGCATTACGGTTTTATGATCATCAAATCTAACTTCTGTAATTAAGCAAAAAATTCAACATGTACTGTATTTGTCTATTAGGGCTGCGTTCGGAAACATCACCCGAGTGCCCCCGCGTGTCGTTTCATCCTTGTTATTCACCCAATGTTGAATAAAAACAAAACGATACACGGGGGCACCCGGGTGATGTTTCCGAACGCAGCCTAGTACGATCTTACTCTATCACTACATAAAGAATTTATTGCTAAATATTTATTTATTAAATAATAAACAAGGTTTAAAGACTCATCTCAATAAAACTTGAAAACATCCACATTCTAAAATCTTTTTTTACAACGACTACGGGCATGATCTAATAATGAATTTTCGACTAAATAATTTTCAATCTAAGAGCGATAAACTCATAGTAGAACCAATAAATAGCGTTTATTAGTTTAGCTAAAACATCGCTATCTCATATTAAGCGCCTATCTCATAATATGGGGCTTTCCTATACATATAATTTTACCATAAACAATAACAACCTTATTGAACTATATGCGAATACATAATTAATTTTGTCAGTTTTACAAACAATTGTTATTCTTTTAAGGTCTTAACCTTTTTGTGACAATCCAGTGTTGACAACTGAGATGGGGAAACACACTTTAACGTATTTGGAGGTTGACCACTGGAGTCTACGAGGCTTGTTACAAGAAGAATGTAAATCATAACAGTTTTAAGTTTTCTAGATTGAAAGGAACTAGAAATTATCCAAAACTTTCGTCTTATTGTTAATACGGTTTTTAGAAGTTAATTTCTGTAATAATTTTATACGCATCATTTACAGTGCATTCCTAACAGCCCTTTTGCTTCCCTTTTGTTTTTGATTAGTGCATATTAATTGAAACTTAATCAAATTTAATGAAACATCAAGTTTACCAAATTTTCATTAATATTTTATTAAAATTTTTTCAGAGTAATAATGTTAGTGAAACCTTAAATGATGTCGTAAGTGCCTTATTCAGCATTGTTCTTTCCCAGTCAACCATTCTCAGCTGACCACGAAGATCCTTTTTCGTAAGATGATCAAGCATTCTAGCATCAACAAGGCACTCCATAAAAGTGGATCGGTATTGAGGCAGTCCGAGACTCGGTAACCAGACGTTACCTATCCACTCGTGATTCATATCACCAAATGCTAATGTTGTGCGAGAAGTTTTCGGCGCTGATGGACTCGTAAGCGACACCATCTCCTGAATGGCTAGTCTCAGTTTTAATCGGTGCAAAGGATTGCTTCACAAAAGTACAAAAAAAACAATTGGAGATATGGTAGTAATGTTGTAGTGAACTATAATCGTTTTATTGTCACAATTATGATCTATGATTACATTAAAATATTAATTATAATTAATATTTATTAAAATTGTTTTTTATATAAATTTATATTAACGTACCTTATACCAATTTCTCGCTGAATTTCGGTATCGCTAAGAGCACTCATGATAGCACCACTTTTGACATTTGCTCGGCAAGCAGCGACATACCACGTTGGCATGCCCACCCAAAGTTCTAACCAGGCGACTACCGTTGGTCCGTTCCATAAAGCGAAGGGCGTTCCGGCTTTCATTGCTTCTGCCAAAAGCTCGTGCCGCGAGGAGTCCAACATGCTATCAAACATGCTTGGACTAAAATATCAAATATATATAGAAGTACTTATAAATTATTTTTCTCGCAGTCTCAATATGCAACGTACATATCATGTATTTATCACAGTTTATTATCATAATACCTGAATGATACAAGTACGTCCCATGGAGAAGGAAAAAGCGGAACAGAATAATAATTGTAATAATGGAAATGAAACACGGTAGGGGGGGGACTAATTAATCAAAATGATCCCGTTCCGCTTTTTCACACCTGGAACCTCCACATGATTGATTTAATTTCCAACCGTGCACTGTGCACACACACACACATACACACACGCACACACACACACACACAGTCAGTAATAGGTACGAAAATGTACCTTCAAGTAAGCATATGGAATTAGCTGTTTTGGTAGAATTTGATGTACAATAACTCAAAAACTGTTCATTTTTTTACATTGTGCCCATAGAAACTTTTGATGAGGACGATCAGAACTACAACATATTATAAATTCAGTCAAATTAGCCGGGACCCATTTTCCGTATGTTCTATGCGGGGTCCTTTCAATATGACAGAATTCGAATGATTGATACTAATTTTCAGTAAATTCTATTCAATAAAATAATATTTCAATAAAATAAAGAATCCTGTAGCATTCGATACGCCGACGCTTGCACTCTCACAGTTTGCTCGATCTCAAACTCGCTCCCACTTTGATCGTACCTCCTCTATTCTAATAAACAATCCACATCAAACAATTCCAATTTTCGTGTAAAATTTTAAATGTTAGACCGCCGGTCGTAACAGAACAAAAGAAAAAAATGTTTGTTGTAATACGCTTAATTCGTATAAATTTTTTCAAAATTTTTTATAAACTTTCTCCAATCTTTAATTTTAAAAAAAGCTTTTACACAATTAAATTTTACGTAATAAAAAATTCGATATTCTTGTGAATAATCATCGTATCAATTTTTTTCAAAAAGCATTTTGAAATTCAAAGGGTCCATTTAAAAATATTTTTGTATTAAATTTTGTCTGACATTTCATCAAACTGCAGCGCTTCGAAGTAAGCCAAAAATATTGCAAAAATATCAATTTTAATGTAATTTAGGAACAAAATGTTGTAGAAAAAGATTCAAGTGTAAATTGAAAGTCTTATCTTTGCGCTTTAAAATGTATGAACGAAAACTTCTCTACGATTTTGTTTCACCAAGATAGTTAACTTTTCGTGAAATGCGAACAAAATCGCAAGTGTTTCTAAATTTTTGACCGGAGATGTATACGGATGCGATATAAAAAAACAAGTACAGATTTTGATGCTTTTTTGTTATTGCAATCACGATCCAATATGGCCACGGAAACTAGTCAGGAGCCTTAATAAAATTCATAACATCTGTTGAAATGATAAAGTGTTATAATCTTATTGTTGTAAATACCTCTTCTTTTTCCTGCGATCAAAATCGCTTTTACTTCCAAGTGTACCAGCCGCACATACACTATCTCCATAGTCTGAATCAGCTGGTGTACTTGCACCTCCCATACCTGGTATATCCCCTGGTATTGCTGTATCTTTCCCTTTGATCTAAATAATAAATCGATAAGGATTAGCATAGACAAAACGCTTGATAATTATTAGTCAAATTTTTTTTTTAACAAAGTTTCTATTTATATAAGCGGAAGTTTGTGAGAGTTCACGGTAAAAAAAACTTTCTATCTAGAGAATAATCCAGTGGAGTAAATATAAATTAATAAATATTTACAGCGCACGCGCGCTTATCACACGCACACATTTTTTAAATTTATATTCAGTTAATACGCAACTAAAATAATATAAATAAGGTCATAGAAGTCAACCGCAAGTTGTTAATAATGCAAGATACAAATTTAATTATTACAAATTAAAGACAAGAATGTAAGGGGAAGTAGGAATCAGCGCGGTACTTTGTGCGCAAGTATAACAATAGAAGTGTTTAAAAGCCCATTTTTAATATAAAAATATGTAATGTCCATATAATATCCGTACGCGTTTTAACTTACTTCAAGTCATTCTCAACGGAATTGAACATAATAATTCTATTTTGTGCAAGTAATGTATCAATCATGGTGTCAATCATCCAACATATCGAAGAGATTCCTTAGATTCATCCCAGATTACTAGTCAGAAAGAAACAAGTAATTCTTATGAAATAAAGCTATAATGAGAACGAAAATATCAAGATATATGTGAAATTATTTAAAAAAACACAACAAGGAGACAGTAGATTGTCACTCACCGAATTGATGCAACTTGCACATACATATACATTAGATAACTAATAAAATATAAAACTTATTTAAATAATTAGATGAAATAATCAGAGTGATCCAAATAAATTTTTTCGTCAAATGAATAGATCAAAATGTAACAGTTGTTCACTCTTCGGTTACACAAAGACAAATAACACATGTCACCGCCGATATAAGTACCGACGATAACAAAATTAATTTTCTTGACACAACATTTTAATTCAGAACGAAAGATTAATATTTGACTGGTATCAAAAACCGATTTCTTCAAGTAGATACCTAAATTTTTTATCCAAACATCCTCTTTCACAGAAAAAAGGCGTGATCATAGGCATGGTTGATAAGATATTTTTCCTTTTTCCAAAATTTCATCAAAAAAATTTTGAACAACATTTCATTTTCGAGAATTAATTATTAACGCTTCCGTATATATACTATCCATGCTCATATGCGTAAATAATTGTCGTCAGAACAATAAAATACATGAATTTTTTAAATTTTTTCTTTATGATAGAAGATATACATAAAAATAAGTAGTGTTTTGAAAAGAAAACGTGAACTTTAAGAAAAAAAAATGTTATATTGATTCATTCCGAAAAGTATAATTATTTGCGCGACTGAAGTGGGGACATTTTTATACATGCTGGGAAAAATGATATCGGAGTATGCTAGGTATTTTCTTCTTCAAAAAAGAAAAAATGCAATAAAAGTATTTTATATTAAATATATACGAGTAATGATTTCGACACTATTTACTCACGATTTTATAATTCTGAGAAAATAGGGCAATCGTTTCACCAAGAAGCCTCTCTCGCAAAAATGCTTTATTGACAATGAATATATGTTTTAATTATAAGAGAGATATATATTTTAATTAGAAGACACTACATATATTTGAATACAGCACTAATAAAGAGGCACATACTAAAAACAAATTTTCACTTTCGGCAAAAATCTGACGAATTTATATTTGATGAGTCCAAGTCACCTAAGCCAAACTTTTATTGCATCACAATTGGCGTCAAGACAACAATGAAACAATTGTATCGCGGCGATCAACAGAGAAAGGATCTAAGTTTTTTACTTCTTCAATTCCGCAATATTAACTGTACAAAAATAGCGGCCAACTAAAATTTTCACTCAAGTCCAAATGACCCACTCATGTAGTTGAAGGTTAAATATATACTTTTATTACAAAAGTTAAGAAAAACTTTATTTTATTTTAATCATTCGTAACTCTCTTATTCTGTAATTCTGATCTCTTCTTCTAACAGCTATTTGCTAATTCGGGACTTCCTTACAATTTTAATGTTTGAAATTTACAAATTGACTATCAGAAATTTTATCTATTGTCTGTATGAAAAAGGGGGTGAGAACTCTTCATATTTTTGTCTAACTTACGTTTAATAAAAACTTTATATCTAATTTCTACTTATTTCTTATCACACTGAAGCGGACTCGAACTAATTGTAAGAGTCGAAACGTTTACCGTTATATGTCTGATTTATTTGTATGTATCTTACAAAATTTAAGTATCTAATAATAATATATGTAGAATTTTTTTTTTTTCAGCTCTAAAGTTATTGTGACTTTTATAGACAATTATTAAATTTACTTTATGTTCATTAGGTGGTTTATTATGTGGTTTATTCTTAAAGCTGATAATAATTACGATTATTTAACCTTTATACCGCCGGCTATTTTTTCGTTAAAATAGTGGTTTTTTTTTCTCAAAATTTTTTTTATATAAGTAACATACTCATGACACAAAATATCGAGATTTGTGCAAAGCCATAAAAGTGGCTTTCCCGGTAGGGAACGTACGATCAAATAAAAAAATTTTTTATTTTCTCAAAAATAGTGTATTTCAGGGTTCTTGGTATCGCTGAGTCAGCACCCTCGAAAATAAGTCAAATTTCAAAACATTTTAACAAGAATGTGAATTTTTTCGTATTGAGGTCTGCTATATTCGAGCCGCCATCTTGAATTTCTCAATTTTGATCTCAAAATCGAAATCAGCGCCCTTATATAAAAAGTCCTTATATACCAAGTGCGAAAAAAAATTTTAAATTTTTTTTCAGTCCGCCGGGGCACAAATTGTTAAATTTAATATTATTATCTAAATCTTTTATTTCTTTTCCTTTATTCATGCAATTACGAAAAAATAAAAGTTATTTATTTCAAATATCAGATTTTCAAAAATTATTCCACAAAAATAAAGAATTTGCAGAAAATATATGTAAGTTTTCACACTATAAAAATTTCATTCCTTTATTTCCAAAAGAAATATGAGAAACGAATATAATCTGTATAAGTATGAAAGAAATATTTCATTTCATTCCGATGGCGCAACATCCTAATATCGGAAGCAGGCCTACCTCTCGTATGTATGCCCGTGATGCGCACACAGGTTGTACACAGACATATGGGACCTACAATTTAACACTGGTTCCGAACGACAGTTTGAGAGGTTTTCTTAGCAATAGATACTCTTGGTGGTTTGCTAAACCGCCGAAGAGGAGCTAAGAGCGCGTAAAAAATTTCTTGGATGACTTGGATCATACTGGGGATTGAACTCGAGTCCCCTAGCATAGTAGACTCGCGCGCTGTCCACCATGCTACGCTCGTGCTTCTATGAAAGAAATATTAACAGTTAAATATTAAAGAAACGTTTTATAAAATAAAACAAAAGACTAATCTAGAAACTTAATATCAAACAGAATACTTAACTTCATATATTCCCACAACAAAAACAAATCTTTGAAAAGTTTTTTAGAAAAGTTTTAAAATTTTAAAACAATAAACATACCAAATACAAATCTTATATAACACATAACTGAGAGAGAGAGAGAGAATTACTTAAAAACTTTTAAAAAAAAAAATTATTAAAACGTTCATTGCCAAACGTGAACTTTCAAGAAGATAATGCCAATACATTTCGATACCTTTATGAGAACAGCATCTCGTGAAACCTCACAGACTTCCATATTTAAAGCCGTAATTTGGGAATAAAAAAGGAAAAATCGTTCACCTTTTCTTTTTTGCTGAAAAATCTACCGAGGCTACTCTTAATGCCTTTCTTTTTTTGTGCAGCCGCGACCGCAGCCGCCGTGGCGGAGCTGATGGTTGATTGTATGTGCAGATGCGATGTCGATAATTGTCCAATAGGCAGCCCGACGCTGGAGAAGTTGTTCTTGTGCAAACTGTCCTGGCTGCTGTGGCGTGAGGACAATGGGGAAGGGGGAGTTCCAGAATTGAGTGCGCCGTTGTTATGCTGCCCATGCCTGCTGCATGGAGCGCTAATCTAGTTTCTATTTCTACACTAATCGATACTACTACATTCTAGCTCAAGCAAGAACATTACCATTTTTGTATTTTTCTTTTCTTATTCTATATACTAATTATTTTGCTATTTTATATACAATATACACTATCGATGATCATGAATTGGGGAACACGCAATTTTTTTCACATTTTACAGACTTAAGTATTGCAGTGAAAAGAAATCGTAGAGAAATTTTTTTAAATGCATTTTGAAAAAAAATAGGAGTATCAAAGTGTTTACGGGTTATCGCTATGTTGTGATTCGTTGCTAATGCCAACGTTCCGTGAATCTTGCCATTAATTTCATCAGGGCGATGAGCGCACTGATACTGAGTTGTACTTCTGGACGGAAGATCATTGGGTAAAATTTAACAGACAATCATTTTAAAGTAAACTTTTAAGCTTTAAGATGCTGTTTAAAAGAAATTGTTGATACGATTTTTCGTAAAGATATCAAATTTTTCATTGTATAATATTTTGAATCAATTGCATAAAACATATCAACAATCGAAAAGTTTTAAAAAAATTTTGAAACAGTTTATACGAATCACGCACATTATAACAAATATTTTTTCCCTTTCGTCTTTTTTCTCTAAACTTCTTAGTTTTGAAATTAAAGAATGTTTTATAAAAATTAAGTTTTTACACAATAAAATTTTACATAATAAAAAATTCGTTATCTTTGCGAAAAAGTAACATAGCAATTTTTTTCAGAAATCATTTTAAAGCTTAGAAGGTTTACTTCAAAATGCTTGTCTGTTAAATTTTGTCTGATAATGTTCCATTTAAGTAGAGGACTTAAAAAAATAACAAAAATATTGAAAAAAATATCAGTTTCCAATTTTATATAATTTAAGAACAAACTATAGAGACATAATTCAAATGTCAGTTTAAAGCTCCATTTTTTGTATTAAAAATGTATTTTAAAAAATTTCTGAACCATTTCATTTCAAGATATTTAAGTTTCTATAAAATGCGAGAAAATTGCAAGCATTTCCGAACTTATAAACGGTAGTATGGATATACATTTTTAAATAATATTCCGTGTTTCTGGTATTTATATAGGATACAGTATATATCTCTGCTTTTTTTATTTATGTAGAATAAATGAATGCGTTCAGGAATTATGACCGAGGGGTCTATTGTGTATTTTGAAAATGAGGTGAAAATTACAAAAGTGAGCAAAGGTTACTAGGTAATGATCAATTAAATTATGAATATTCTAGTGAATTTTATCACTTTGTCATTTTCATCTCATTTCAAGATACATAATCGGTCCCCAGATAACTCTATAGGCTATAGTATACGCTAAGTATACATGTACTCTGGCAGTGCTCGGAATTAGTTTTTACATTTCGGGCCGATTTCTGAAGCACTGACTACTTTTCCCCCACTAGATAGGCGTTCATACGAAAGAATTTATTTTTGGTATTCTTACTAAAGAAAATTCAATAAAAAAAATAATTATTCATTTCTTATATATTTGTTTCTCCTGATAGCAAATGTGACAATACAAAATGGTGCTCATTCATATTTTGGCTGCCATATTGAAAAAATGTGCTAAAAAAATAAGTTTCCTGCAATTATCTTTGAAATTGTTCGTGTTACAAAAAAAATTTGAAACAAAAATGTTTATCATCATGTTTTCAACAAAAAAGATCTTCTACGTAATGAACATACATTCAATACTTCAATTAGTATATTTAAAAAATTGATAAACATGAGGCCATCCAAAGTTTAAATAACGCGCCTTACTAAATAAATGAAAATTTAAACTCAACAATGAAATAAGTAAAGTACAATAATATGAATTTTATTTAATCTTCTATTTAATTAATGAGATTGTGAAACCCCGGAAATCACGTGATCTTGGAAATGCACGCCAATATATCAACGCCAATTTCGATGAGAATCTTGAGTCGCTTTTCTTTCTCTCATATTCGCTTCTACCACATCCGGTTTCACAACGTCATGGCAGAGCCAATCACTGATCGAGTCGGCGTTGGCCGATCTCTACTTTTGGGAGAATCCATCCCACTTCCCCCACTGCCAAGGGGCGCACGACTTCTATAATTCTACTGTTGCACATGGGTTTCTACTTTCCACGCGAAGCGTGGAAAATCATTCACCCCTTGGTAGAGGGGAAGTGGAGTGGAAGTTGCTTCGCGTGGAAAGTCGAAACCTATGTGCAATAGTACAATTATAGAAGTCATGCGCCCCTTGGTAGGGGGGAGGGAGAGGTGGGGCGAACCTCCCTTAGTATGAAAAATCGTTCGCCTCTTGGCAGATGGGGAGATAGAGTGTTTACTTGCTTCATTGTTGAGTTTAAATTTTCATTCATTTAGAAAAGTGCGTCATTTGAACTTTGGGTGGTCTGTTTATCAGTTTTTTAAGTATACTGACTAAAGTATTGTGAATATATGTTCATTACGTAAGGACGTTTTTTTTGTAGAAAACATGATGATAAATACTTTTTGTTTAATACATCAAAAAGAAGAACGTTAGCCTATCACGGCCAAAGTTAGATATTTTGCATAACACAAATATATTCATTTTAAATGAATTTTGTTTCAAATAAGATTGAGTGCCGATAATTTTCAGACTTTCAACACAATCAATCTGAAATGCTACTAATCCCCTAAATTAAATTAGAAAACTATAAAAAACTTATTGTGAAAAATATTACTTCAGCCAGGGTTCGAACCTGGGACCTTTCGACTTTCCGGAGCGAGCGTCTTAAGGTGACCTTACACAATCAATAATACTGATCAATAATATTGAATCAGTAATACTAATAGTACACATCAATATTTATAGTATTTTTACAATCTTACACGATCAGTATTATTAACAATATATTTCACTTTTGTTTTATGTACTTTATCTATTACACTGTGACATACTGTGACATGGATCCTAATAAAGCGATATGAATGTTCGAAAATTAAAATTCAGATCACCGTCAGTATTCTATGTATGACAGTATTATTGACAATGTAGGGTCACCTTTAAACAACTCGACCATTAAGACTTCATTTTTTGTTTAAAATTTTTTTTTATAACACGAACAATTTCAAAGCTAAAAACTTATCTTTTAATATGTTTTCAATATAGCAGCCAAAATAGGAATGAGCACCGTTTTGTATTGTCACATTCGCAATCGGGAGACAAAAATGTATAAGAGATAAACAATTATTTTTCTTTTCAAGAACGTAGTCCATCCAAAGATCCTAATTTGTAATTGACCAAATAATTTCTTATTGTAAGCACAGATGATTTTGAGATACCCTGTCCTAAGTAACATATAATTATCACAATAAGGGTAAAGTGACACTATCATCATTGAAACTTAAAAATTATCGTCGAATTTCAGTCAAGATGTTATCTCGATCTGATCTTAACGTAACAATCGTGTATCACTTAGGATCATAAATTACTTCTATGTTTCCATACTATGACTTACAAAAAAGAATTATTTTCCTTCTTTCTTGATTATTCACTCTTAAAAAAAAAAGAAACTCACAGATTTAAATGAATTGTTACACATGATGGCTCTGGCATAATATATATGCATAAAAATGCTCAGTTTTTTAAATGGCATATTCAACTAATAATTAAACAAAGTAATTAACAATATTAAAGTAAAATTTACAAAAGATTAACATAAACGCATCTAGGTAAATCTAAATAAATGGAAAATAACATTAACAAATAAATTTATACGAAAGAATTTCTATGTGTCGTGGCGCATTGAAATATTAATGACTGATTCTTCTGTATAAAATGAAATTTCACCGTATAAAAATAAGATTACAAAGATTGAGACAAAAAAACTACTGAAAGTATAATAAAATAAAAGCCACATTCTGCAGTACACAAACCGCAACTGCAATATAAATCGAAACATGTTTTATAAATAAGCTCGAAGATTTAAAATATCCTTTAAAGTGCGGTATCATATTCAGCATTATTGTTTACGATGCCGAATTTCCATCCGTATCTTTATAATCTGTTCATGCAAGACAACCTTACGCGCGAGATAGACCCATGATGAAAGGATAACATGGTGTGTGCAGTTGGACGGTGTCTCTGTCTAATTCTCTGCCCTCTCCGTCTATGGATTATTCATGTAGGCGAGGGTTATCAACTGTGAAACGCAAAACATGGGGCGGTATTCATAGTCCGTTCTTATTTTAAAATCGTCTTAAATAATATCTTAAAATGCTAATACAGAGTCCTCGAATTGCTTTATGACATCTTAAGAGTGTACTTAAAACAGTCTTAAATACAAGAATCGATTATGAATACCGACCTGTTTCGCGTCGTGAAATTGATACTGAATCTTTCCTTGTTTGGCACACTTTATAATGCATTTTAGGTTCTCTTTCTATAGAAAGAAGAGCATAAAATGTGTTAAACAAGGGAAGATTCAGTACCAATTTCACGACGCGAAACAGGCCTGTATTCATAGTCGATTCTTGCATTTAAGATAATACAATCTTAAGATGTCATAGGTCAATCTGAGGATTCTGTATTAGCATTTTAAGACATTATTTAAGATGATTTTAAAATAAGAATGGGGGGACTATGAATACCGCTCCATGTTTTGCGTTTCACAGTTGGTAACCCTCGCCTACATGAACAGTCCATAGACGGAGAGGGCAGAGAATTAGACAGAGACACCGTCCAACTGCACACACCATGTTATCCCTTCCACCATGGACAGATCGGTGCATTTTATCTATTGAATCCAATTTTCTCGGTTCCGTAAGTTATTTAATCTGCCTATATAAGATCAAATGTCTATCATGAACTGGGCAGGCTCAAAAATTTGATATATGTGATAACAAAATCAATCAAATTTTGAGATTTATAGGTATCTATATATTAAAACTCTCTGTTGAGCGTTTCCGTGCCACTGTGCTCGAGAATCGATACTGTGGGCATATAAGTGATATTTTGCATATTATATTTTGACATCTCTGAAAATGATATAACTGCTTGAACGATGAACGAATTACCATCAACGTACTCTGAACTGACTTGAACGTCGTTCGTCTCATGCCCACAAGAGCCATTCAAATGTGACGTGCACAGCGGCATATGATTTACACACATGCAGTACTAATATCATTAATTAACCTGTGCGTGGGGAAACCACTGCTCGGAAATCCACTCTGTCCGGTACGTCTGATAGCATAAACAATGAAAGTACTGACTTAAGAGATGATAATTAACTTTGGTTGCTCTCTCATCTCTATACATACAATATAATTAGGATGAAAAGGTTAAGGTTTCCCCACATTAAATCATATATTCTTTGTACAATATAATTTTTGTTTCTATAGTTATAAAATGGTTGTAAATTGTTTGATACTTCATTTCTTTCTTTAGTGATTATTTATAATAAGGTCCTTTCCGAATTTCAACATTTTTCGGCTGCAATGTTGGTAACAATCTTTGTTATAATTCAAATAACGATAATTAATCAAGGGAGATCGAAAAATATATAATCTACCTATTTTTTGAAATCATTTATTTCCTTATACAGCTTCTATAGTGATTTATTACGTGCATTCGACTTTCCACGCGAAGCGAGATTTACCCCACCTTTCCCTTTGTCCAGGAGCTTTTGACTTTCCATACGAAACACCCAGGGAAAGAACTCGCTTCGCGTGGAAAGTCGTATTTAGGGGAGGTAGAGCAGACTTCACTATATTGGAAATAAATGATAAAAAAAATAGATAGGTTATATATTTTTCGAACTCCCTCAATTGTTTATTGCTATCTGAATCATAATAAAGATTGTTATCAACATTGCAGCTCAATTATATCGAAATTCGAAAAGGGCCTTATTGTGCATAATTATGCTTTCTTTTATGTGATGTACGATTAAAGTATCGATAATAATTTATGTTATAAAAGGATATAGTAATTCACTTATAAAGAATAGAAGACAATTTGATTTGAAATCAAAATTTTGCTCTTAACAAAATGGAAAATGTACCTTCTAAGTTCTTCCTGACTATGGGCCAATGCTTGAACGACTCGTTCCAATCTCAAGGACCTGGCTGTTAAAGGAGATGCCGCGTCGCTTCCACCGCTTCCTACACCACCACTATCTCTTTCACTAACCGAATGCAGTTCTTCTCCCGACAACTGCAACTGTTACAGATGGGAACTATTCTTTCTGTATATAATTCGTATATATTTTCTAAATCTCTTAAAATGAAAATTAAACCAATCTTTTAATAAAAGTGAAAATATTTTCAGCTTGTAAAAAGAGTGAAAATTTTTGCAAACGAATAAAATCTCATTCCAAAAGGGTAAAAATTTTCAATTCTTTTTCTAGGATAAAACTATTTTCACTTTTATATTCAAAAGTTCATTTTTCAGTCTTTTGGAATGAGATTTCATTCTAAGGGATTTAGACAGCAGTATTTCGAAATGTTTTAACGATAGATCTTTAATCAATTTGGAGTCGATTTTTTTTTAGGGAAAAAATCGCGAAAGGACATCATTTATTGCAATTTTTCAATTTGATACATTACATATTAAAGCTAAGTAAGTTAAAATTCCATAAAATTAAACATCATATAAAGTTAAGAATAATGTTTCATCTTATTCAATTTCTAAAGATTTACTTTGCAAAAATTTTTCTTTTGAATTGTTTATAAATCAGAAGTGATAAGTATTTTGTAAATATTTGTAATGTATTTCAGATGCAATTTGTAGAGCAAAGTGTTCTGAGAAAAACTAGACTACAAAATAGCAGATTGCTTCCTTAGAAATAAGGGAATTATGGCAAAATGCGAGGTACTCGAAGTTTAGGAACCTGTCTTAATGACAAAAAAACTTATAATACATTTTTCGTAATTTTGTATTATAGATTAATTTTCACATGTCAAATAATGTGTTCTTTTATTGTTTTCTTTGAAAAAAAATTATCAATTTCACCTATTATTTGACTCCGTATCAACCTCTTATCCCCTTTTATCTAATAATAATAATTAAATCGAGTTGCTAACCTGGCTAGCAGGAAGAGATTCTGATAGTTGGCCGGGACTAGCTAAGGAAGCAGCATATTGATGTAAATGTGCCGGAGACATTGACGCAGGTGCCTACATGAAGAAAAAAATATAGGAATATATTATAAGCAATATGATCACTTTGCTTATACTTACGCAATCAAACTAACATAAATATCATTGCATTTACGTGATTACTAACGGTGTGGTACTTATGTAAATAATCCCTATTTGGACTATGGTGCGATTTTGGTGTGGATCGACCACTCAGCGGCGGCGATGCTCGTTCGAGACTTCGTCCCCTCGCTAATAGATTCATATGTTCGAGGCTGCCAACGCGAGATTCCAGTTCCTCCGCACGTGCTTCCGTACTCTGCTTTTCTTCCTAAGAAAATTCTCCACTTTCAATAACATATAACTTAAAAACTATCGATTCTTCAAGATTACAAAAAATAAATTAAATTAGACAAAAGGTGTAAAAATGATATGTTGAGTCTATGATACCTTATTACATTCATTTTTACATTAACATATTCCGACTTCATATAAAATAGATCTACATATGAGTCATTGTATAATATTAATTACTTGAATTAATCTAATTTCTTTATTAATAGCATCCAATTGTTCTTGTAACATTAATGCTAATGTTTGGGCGTCTGTGTGTCCGGTAGGGCTGATTACGTCCGCCGCACAACTGAAGATACTTTCGTTATCTCCATCACCTTCTGCGTCACTCGAAACATCAAATGCTTGTTGGACATTGGCAAGCACATGCGCTTGTTGCAACTTTTCCCATTCTTGTTCCGCTAAAGTCCGTGCAACATAATTCTAGAGTATCCAAATTCACGTTATAAATGTTTATCTTTAGACATACACTTAATTAATGTTTTTTATATCTTGTACAACGGTACAATACCTTCGATGAATCGTCTTCGATAGATCGTTTACCTCCTCTTCTAGGCAATGAATGTGTGTCGAAACTGCTGTGACTTGCACTTCTCGAAAAGGAGCCTGGATCTACAGTATTTGGCGACAAACTTCTTGTTAATGCGTCTGTTTGCTGAATATTAAATGCAATTTCTTGTTGGAGCATTTGTCTTTTAACATTATCGATTTCCAAACGTGCTTTGCCCAATTCCTTAACAATGTCAGCCTTTTCATTTTGCAGATCTTCCGCCACTTTTCTCGTTTTTTCGAGTTCCTGAGTAAGCGCATTCTTTTCTTCTAATGCGTGCATTCTTTCTTTTAAATGCACTTGTAATCTTTCATTGGATTCTAAGTAAAAATTTGAACTATTAATTTAACTTAAAATTTTAATCATATTTATTAATACGGATAAAAATTAAATATGCATATAGACAAATATATAACGTCAGACATTAAATATTTGTTGCTTTCGAAAATACATGAACATTTTATTAAAAGTTATTTCTATAGAAAGTCGCACGATTTTTAAAAAAATTAACAGTGATAAGAAGAAAAGAAATTACACATCTTATTCCTAATATTATTTCAAAATAAAGGTGATAAAAATATTTAAATATTAAATCATTTACATACAAGTTATCTCTTTAGACAGAAAAGTATATTTTCTCATTCCTAATATAATCCAAATAATTGTTTACAATTCCACAAGCAATTAGGGCGATCTGATATAGAAATAATGTTACGTAGAAATTACCAGATAAAAGTTTATCAACAGTTGTACTAAGACGCGTATTATGTTCCTCATTCATCTTTAATCGTTGATTAACACGCATCACTTCCGCATTCTTTTCTTCTAATTGTGTTTCCAGTCTTTGAATTCTATCCTCCGCGCTACCATGTCTTTCCTGAGCCTGCTTAAATTTTGTATAATTAAAATTATTTATTATGAATTGTATAATAATTTATTTATGATATTATCGACTTCCGTATTATTGAACTGTTATTTACGGAATTATCTCACATTATTTCAACAAATTTCGTGGCAATGATAAATATCAATTTTCAAAATAAATGTCAATTCTTATGATTGATTGGAATAGATCAATAGAGGATAAACATATTAAAATGTAATTTAAGGCAAATAATGAATATAACTTATATATACGTTTTCATATTATACGTTATATTATACAGGGCGAGTAAAAAGTCCCGAACTGATGAAATATCTCGAAAACAAAACATTTTTAGGAAAAATTATTCAGATCAAAGTTTTACGGGGTTGAAAAGGTCTATTTATTAATCACATCTGTTTAATCTTGAGGGACCTCCAACAAGTTTTAGCCGTCGCTCGTTATTCATTAAAAAATTATTAACTTAAGAAGTTATTAAAAAAGAAGTTTAAAAAATAATGTCTCATTTCTGCTATAACGAAAGTTGTAAACCAATGTAGAATCTCGCTTTGTGTTGTAAAGTGTATGTGTGGATATAGTGGGTTTCGCCCTCCCTGCAAAGGTGCGCCCGACTTCCATAATTGTACTGTTGCACATGGGTTTCGAGTTTTCACGCGAAGCTACTTTCACCTCATCTCCACCCCTGCAAAGGAGCGCCCGACTTTCATAATTGTACTGTTGCACATGGTTTTGAGTTTCCATGCGAAGCGACTTTCACCCCATCTTTTTCAAAAATGCTTCGTTTCAGAGATATTTCATTGGTCCGGGACTCTTTACTCACCCTGTACATACATGATGCATTAGATCTCAAAATTTTTTACGAAATTTGCGAAGTACCACGGCGTAAATTAAAAATTGTATATATACTAGGTGTCCCTCAATTATTAAAAAAGAGCTTTTATGTAGATACAGCTGACTAAACTGAGTCGAAAAGTCCTCTACCATTTTGCAATTTTCGCAATAGTTAACAAAATATTAATTACTAAATATCGTCGAAAATTGATCTTCAATAATTTTGTAATAGAGATTTCACGGAATCTTTTCAATACTCATTCGGTATCGTGACGTTTAGCGATATCCGTCAAAGCGTCCACGCGGCCGGCCGCTTGGTTGCGCCGCACCTGATGGTGCGAACTTTACACTCCGTTGGATGGTTTCAAAGGCTCACCATTCAAAAACTATCGATACTTCAACATTTTGCTATTAACATTTTCATGAGGAACATACGGTGTACATGCCGATTCCTCCGGTTGGTCTGTATCACCCTTATATACAAGGTGTCCCACAATTATTGACAAATTGCTCTTGTGTATATAGAGTGGACTAAACTGAATCGAAAAGTCCTGTGTCATTTTGCAATTTTCGCAATAATTAACAATATATTAATTACTAAAAATCACTGAATATTTGTTTTCAATAATTTTTTACTCAAGTACTATAAACTTTACAAAAAAATAGCTAGTGAGAAAAACTGTTTATTTTCTTCTCCTAGAGTTCTGAGAATTTTTTCAGAATTTTTAGTATCGAATTTCTCATGTAGAAATAGTTGCCGATAAACAAATGCAATAATAAAAAGTTAATTAAGAAATATATTTTAAAAAATTCTTAGAGCTCTATGAGAAGAAAATAAATAATTTCTCTCTTGCTATTTTTCTGTAAAGTTGATAATATTTGAGTAAAAAATTATTGAAGACCAATATATTCGGCAATTTTTAGTAATTAACATCTTGTTAACTATTGCGAAAATTACAAAATAGTAGAGGACTTTTCGATTCAGTTTAGTCCGCTCTACCTATACAAAAGCACGGCAGAAACTTACAGGATGCCCTGTATATATATATATAATTACTTTAATATTCCCATTTAATCTAAATGACGCATTCTATTGTAATAACATTCTATTATAGCAGTAAGAAAATAAAAGTGTTATATCCATATGAGCAAAAAACAGAATAAAGAGAGAAAGAATATATTACATTAATAAACATTCTAAAAGTGATAGATTATAAATCATGATATTTGAAACATATCCGTCATTTACAGAAATAGATTTTGTACAGACCAGATTGACTTCCATTATTCATGCTACATCATATCAGTTTGCAAATCATATGAGATAGGACCATAGGACATAATCAATTTTCAAGAATACGTGAAAAGATCTCGTAACCAAGAATACTTGATGCAAATTAATTTAATTTGTAAATTGAGCTTGTATTTATATTTAACAATTTGTGTATATTATTGAGTAAATATTACAAAGATACACAGCAGTACACAAAAATACTTGATCTGTATGTATGCTAAATGTTATTATGTACCATTCATATAGTAATGTAAGCACGTAGCAGCAAATCATTGTTGCTTGATAAAATTAATTGAAATGATGAGAGCACTTTAACAATAATGCATGGTAAGAATGATAAGCCTTCTAGATACAAATTCTTAGGAATGTTAAGTGCAGAGGAATAAAAAAAGGGAGAGCTGATGATGTGACATGATATGATTCCCCTGCGTACCTGGTTGGGCCTCCTCACCTGCGTCAGAGCCTCCATCCTCTGCTTTAATTGTTCTTCCATTTCTGGTAACTTAGCGTATTGAGCTAATTTCTGTTCCGCGAGCTCTAATTTTTCTTGAATAGCAGCAATTTTTTCCTCTTGGAGCTTCAGTAAATTAAATTAATTATAAGAGAGAAAGTGAACGTTAAAATTAAGAGAAAGAGAAAATAAGGATTAATCTGTAATTTACCTTTAATTGAGCTTTCTTATGCTGCAACTCCTGCTCCAGCTTCTCATTGAGGTCATGAAGACTAGTGGACTCTCGTTGAGCATTGAGGTATCGTTTTTCTAAAGTTGCTATTCGTTCTTCTTGGTCCTCTTTTTGCGCCGCATTCTCTCGTAAATCTCTTTGCAGTTTAAGACCTGCATCTTGTGCCTTCAAAAGATCTTTTTGTGTTTTGGATAGTGTTTCCTCTAACTCGGCGACGCGTCCGCTTAATTCCGCTACTCGTCGTTGCCACGTATTTAATTCTGAACTCTAAAATAATATTTACAAAATGTATTTAATTAAAGCTCAATTAATTGAAAGGAATAAAAAAGGACTACGAGCCAAGCAAAATCTTTGATGATTAATCATTAAATGGTAACGTCGATCTCACAGATCGCTATTAAAACTTTAATTGTTAATAACTCCTTTGACATCAACTTTTTACGAGAGACACTCTAAACTCATGCTGTGGTTTTATATGGTTATTATATGGTTATTATTACTAAAATGGTATTATATGGTTATTATTACTAATATTATAACAGTAATAATTATAATTATTATCTGCGCGTATTGTCTGCTAGTACGAGTGGAAAAATTCAATCATTCGAATACCGCGCGTGGCTGTGTACCGATTTCTCTATCGCTCTTGCGTGGCGCTATTTATAGAGTTTTTCATTGGCAAAACTAGTGCGCACTCAGTACATATTAAAGCTTTTGTACACTATTCTAATCTAAATGTAAAAGTGAAATATCTCAATTAGTAAAGTACCTAATGTGTATTTTATAATAGTACAATATCAAATATTACAATAAAATGTATTGAATATTTAATTCGTTTCTATATTTTTATTAAACGTACATCTTTATGTCAATTTATGTACAACGGCTTTAAAGTGTACTGGAGTGCGTACTAGTTCTGCCAATAAAGAACACTATTAGACTAGCGTAGCGCTGCTTAGGCCTCGTCTACAATCAAGGTGGCTGACGCTTGTCGGATGACGTTAGTCGTAAAAGATGGGACCTGACTAATCCAAACGATGCCCGGCAGCCAACATCGACAACCGACACGAAAAAACAAAGGTTGTGCGCATGCGCACGATGTACGACACCGTCTCCCGACTGATTGTAGACTAGAGGTTTGTTCGCGTCGCATGCTTCAACATGTTCCAATATGCTCCTACCATAGCTCTTACTCACTCCAACGCGCTTGATAGAGTGAGTAGGAGCTATGGGAGCATGTTGGAACATGTTAGATCCTGGCGACGCGAACAAATCTTCGGCCTTAAACCAGCAGGGCGTGCTTATAGCTGCAAGGCGTGGTGGTTGTTGTTGGTGTCTGACCTGCGTCCGCCATTGTTCGACAGTCGACTGCGTGTGGACTGGTGAGCAAGCTGGTCATCATACAGAGTGAATTATATATACGTCATAAGGAGAATTAAAGAATAGATTCCTGTAAAAACTGTCTCACTTATTTTTACGCTAACGAAACCACATCGTTCGTGGCCACACGGCGAAAGGCCTCTGGACAAGGAGAAAATAGTGCTCCACATAGCGCAAGAAGGCACAAGGCCTCCCATTAACAATTATAGTAATATGTAATTATTGTTACAAGTACCAGACATTTTTCACTCAGTATACACACATACATATGATATGTACATACATACGTATGTACGTACGTACATAGCATATATACTGTGCATACATTTTTTATTATAACAAACTTATAAATTTAGCGGAAATATGACAGCGATTTGTCAGACCGACGACGTTACCGTTAGTGTAATTTTTTTTAACACATTACTGTGTTTAAAGGTTAAGTAAATAACATACTAATAATAATTATACAATCTATTACAAAGGTTTTGTACGTTTGTAATACATTGTATAATTGTTATTAGTACGACTCTTATTGGATCACTTTCAATGTAAATACAGACAAATTATAATGTTATAAGTCTTATATAGTATAATAAGATGCATTTGATGTTGTAATATAAGTTGTAAATACTAGGTAACGATTAGTCCATTTTACTACTATATTCGCTCGCAATTGTATGAGATATTAATAGAAGTATAATCGCCAACTATTCGCATTGATCGGACATTTACATGCGAATATAAGACAAAATGAGGTTAATGGTCAGCTGAATAAATTTCACGAGGAACATTATAATTGTACAATCCCTGATAAAAAAAATCCGATAGAAATATATAAGAAACGATTAAATTCTTATAAAATTTTATCGTTATTTATAAAGACTATCGTAGGTATTTTTGAAGTTAGATATAAGTTGGATGCTATCGTTTTGAATCGATTTTTATAATATCTGGTTTTAGTCGTTTTAGATCAATAGAAATTCTTTAGTATAAGTATACAGTAGTAGAATACTTATCGTATTTATACTCATATTCATTATATATATGGAATTGACGATAAAGTATCATTTGGAATTTATTTGATATTTTACATAAATGTTTTCTATCAGATTCAATGTATGATAAAAAATATATGATGAAAAAATTATCATGTAATGTATACTTTAGGTTATACTTTACCGATTTTAGTGTCTTTTAGATAGGGGAGAATGTCCTGAGTAATTTCCCGCAAGAATTAAATGGGGGACAGTATTGATTTAGGAGATATAGTAAATTAAATGTTCCAAAAAATTCCATAATATGTAGAAGATGACATTAGTATAAAAGGTATATTACAAATAGTGAAGTTTGTATATGCCGTATTAATCTCTTGAAAGATGTAAATAAAGTCAGAAAGTCACAAGCATTTTGTATACAATTAACATAGTTTTCGCAATTCGTTAACAGCTTTCAATATGCTACTATACGAATTTCTAACAATAAGTCGTGTTAATGATAACAACGAATGGTAGTTTTGTTTCACGTTGGAGAATGTATGCGTGGAGGCAGTACGCCGGCCCTTGTAGGGGGGGGGGGTTGGATGGTTCTTGCTTTTCATATACTTTACAATGCAAAACGAGGACCACCCAATACTGAAATATGGGTTAAATTAAATTTTTTGTGGGCAATACCGCCCATAATTTATTATATCTCTTAAAGCAATGCCGGCCCCCACTTAATTCTTGTGGGGTATCACTCAGAACACTCCCCCCTACAACATATCTGAAAGACACTAAAATCGGTGAGGTGTAACCTCTAAGGTATAACTACATTTACCATTTATCAATTACAATGTGTAATTAACATATTTGTTTTATAGACAGAATTAAAGGTAGGAAATCTATTAAAATTTATTTGACATTTTACATAACGATTTTCTATCTGATGTAATATGAAAGACACGATAAAGGATTTATCAGTTCTAATAAGTAAGGGACGTAATCGTTATTTATATAGGATTAAAAATAGAAAATACATATATCAGAATTTATATAATTTTTTAATAACGATTTTCTATCAGCTGCAATATGATAGGTATGGTTATTGTATAAATTATTGTAGAAATCAACTAGCAACTAACTTCTTGTAAGTGAAACAATATATAATTTTTGATAATTATGCAGTTTAAGGGAGCATTCTCCGATGACCTTGACCTTGACGTATGCGATCAAGGTCATGACTCCGAGTGACCTTCAAAAGGTTTTAGCCTGCGGTCGTCCTTCATTAAAAAGTTATTAACAAAAAAAGTTTGAAAAATAATGTATTATTTCTGCTATGCATGCAATATTAAATATTATTCTACATAGGTTCTGACTTTCAACACGAAGCGACTCTCACCCCTCGTCCCTGTTTGAGAGTCGTGTGCCCCTTTGCAGGGGGGAAGGGGGCGAGAATCAAGGGTGAGAGTCGTGCCCCTTTGCAAGGGAGGAGGAGGGGTGAAGGTCGCTTCCTGTTGAAAGTCAAAACCTATGTAGAATAGTATTTAATATTGCATGTATAGCAGAAATAATACGTGATTTTTCAAACATTTTTAATAACTTTTTAACGAAGGACCGTGGGCTAAAACCTTTTGAAGATCACTCGGGGTCATGGCCTTGATCACATATGTCAAGGTCAAGGTTATCGAAGAGTGTGCTCCCCTATACTACATATTTATCTCATTTTTATATATTAATGAAAATAAAATTAGTAAGAATCGGATTGAAGATTATACATCATAGGATTATGAAGCTTATATGTCTATACATAGGGGAGAGAGGGGCAGCTTTGTGCAGAGGCAGCTTTGAACTTTACAAATTAAAAGTGAACTGTTCTTTTCTGCGCGCGCGCAATAACAAATTGTAATTTTTGAAATGGTAATACAGTCACAGATAACCGTCAAATGGTATCTGTCGCGGTTGTAATTGTTAATCTAATCTAGTTTTGTGTTTTTATGCCTTCGTACTAAACGTTTTATCTCGCACACGTAAACATTTCAAAATTAAATCATTAAATAATTAACATTTTGTTGTGCTGTGTTTTTTCTTACATCCAGATCTACCTAATAAGGATGAAATATTTGGTTTTTATCGATATTCTGATAAACAAAATAAGATATTTTTTCAATGTGACTGATAGGGGTTGATTTGAACAAAACATACGGGCACCTTAGAACATTTCAGTCGCGACTGTCACGAGTTACGCGAGCTCCCATAAAGCCCATGGTAAATACAAAAACGTAAGACGTAAGCAGTAAGGATATCGTAACATTGAATTTGCTACTGGCCTTACGGTCTCTACTGTGATTGGCCAATTTGTTTACTGTTTACTGCTTTACGTTTTTGTATGTGCCATAAGCTTCAGTCCTTCGCGGCTCGTAGAGCGCGGATTTGAATCCCATTGAACATGTATGGGATGTGATAGGAAGAAGACTACGAAGATTAGAGGAACCGTCAATTTGCAGCAACTGGAAGCAGCAATGCATCGAATATGGTGGGAAATTCTGCAAGCTTCAATTAGAGCTTGCATCAACATGCGTGCACGTTTACATAAGGTTATCCGAAGACGAGGCGGAAATACACAATTTTAAAGAGCGAATATACTCCCACATACTTCCACCCCATCCCCACACACACTCGCGCGCGCGTAAAACACACACGCAAAATCGGACCAGCAACCTCCCCGTGTGCGCATCGGGTAATGCTAATGCTGGCGGTAATTGAATAAAACAGCTTGCATAGGCAAGCTTGATACACTGTATGTCCTCGAAAAAAAATCATACAAAGCTTAATTTTTTTTAATTTATAAGAAAGAGAAAAGTCCATACTTTATAATGGTTATCATGACATTTACGAAAAAAATTTATTCAACCCCGTAGAGTACGTCAAACTATGCAAATTTATTAAAAAAAAATAGGTCTTTATTTTTTAAAAGATGACAGGTAGATGTAAGGATAGATTCAAAATCCATTGGAAGCTTCGTAAAGTACAGACTTTACCCTTGAAAATGAAAAAAAAACTTTTAAATGCTACCATTTTTCGCGGAGTTATGCTTATTTGAATTTATGAGAAATTTTGATATAAATTTACCTATGCAATAATTTTGTTGACGAGTGTAATTGTGTTTATGAAAAATCTTTCATCAGAATGACATTACGAAGTATTTTCCGGTAATTTTTTATAATATAATAATCTGCATAACCATTTAACATTTTATACAAATATACATAATTATGTATAATCTATTACGTAATTAAGGTACGTAATTAAGGTACGTAATTATTTGAGCCGAATAGGTCCCACCTAACCTAACTTTTTTTTTAATTTTATTTATGGGGATATTGAAATGAACTAAGTGAGAATCAAATCTTCATTTCATTCACTCCCAAAAGAAAAATATATTGTTTATATAGAATATGTGTAAATAAACGAAAAAAAATTTTGTTAAACTCTGACATTGGGTCTTATTATATGCATATGAATATAATAAGGCCCAAATCAAAAGTAAATTAAAAATAACAAAGAAAGTAAACATTATCTGTTTACATCAGTTTTAAAATGATTATTAATTATAGAAAGGACATTCCTTAAGACTTACTTTACTTTCAAATATTACAATTATCTTTAATTTTATTTGTAATTAATTCTTTAATCTTTGGAAATTTCTAGCAATTTGAATGCAATTTTGGCTTCTTAAAAGATAGCAGCATTGAAAATTGTTATTTTCTGGCATAAACTCCACATAATAGACAATATATATATAGGTGAACGTTATCTTGAAATTCGATCAGAAGTCATGAATGTATTGTTCATCCCCTCTAAAATGCATTTTTTTAAATTTCAATATCTTACTTTTTAGCCATGTTATGAAGGATTAAAGATAGACTTATGATCGAAATTTCAAGATAACGTTCACTTTCTTTATAAAAAAAATATCAAATATCGATAAAAAAAACCATTTTTTACATATTAAACCTCAATTATCTTGGAAATCTGACGTGCTAGAATTTTTTCGCTTGCGGCATCGTTTTCAGCATCCAAAAATCTATAAGAGACATGTAGTCCGGTCCAAAGTAATTTTTTGCTGTAAACTAGTGTTATTATTGGCTACGTTTATACTTTGTGCATAGTCCGCGACGATACGATAGATGTCGCTTGTTACGATACTATAGGTGTCCCTATAGGTCGCAGACTAAGCGCACGGTGTAAATATAGCCATTGTCGTCATTTGGGAATTATCAGCTAAAAGAAAATTGTACACATAGAAGTTGTAATTGGAGAATCGGTCGACTGAAGTAATATCAGAGGTGATTCTAAGTTATTAATTTGTGGTTACATGGTTTAATGAAAAAATTTTACAGTATTCATTGACACTATAATAGGAAAATAGTTCTTGATGTAGATTTGCAAATCAAGATTCCCAGTCGATGATTCTGCTATATTTTTATAAGATCTATGAACTAATATCACAGAACTGTAAACTGTATGGAGAACATCTGAATGAGAATTGAGTTGTTTAAGAAAAGGAGTATCGATGTAAAATAGGTTCAATTAAATATTAATTTATATTATTATAAAATTAATTTGTATACTTTCACTGAAGAGGACTTATTGAAGGTCAAAACGTTTGAGTGTTAAAACCTTTTTATATTATATTTACATGATTATTTAAACTAGCGCACGTTAAATAGCTAATCTCGGATAGCCTCTTCACGATAATATATGGATTAATTTATTTTATAACTCTTTAAGAGTACCTACATATTAAATTGTAATGGCTGCAATATTACATTGCAACATTTCTAAGGTGAACGTTTTACCGTTGCTGCAATGTTACAGCAATGTTGCAGCAACATTCTGCAACGTTTACAATCTTACAAAGAAAGATTTCTGCAACATCTTTCGGTGCTGTATGGGAATTGTCCTTTCGAATAATGCAATTTTCGTTTTTAACATTTTATTATCTATGTATTCAATAAATAAAAAATTGAATCAGGTATTTTTAATGATTTTTTTCCCTTCTATTTCCCATTTTGTTTCTTTCCCTTTTTTCTCTTCTTCACTCTGTTTGTGTACATTATATACATTGTACATATAGATACGCATGCGTGTGCGTAAATACGCGCATGTGCATATTTATGTGTGATTAAAAATTGGAGGAAAATATATTGCAGAAATAAAATTATAAGAATCAGTCATGATTTTTATATATGTATATATATAGTCAACATACACAGAGATAGAAAACTACCTGTCGAGTTCTGTGTTAATAGTTGAATTTTTCTATCGTTCCGCCATATAATACTAATTCATACCTGCTTGTCGAGAGTAGCTTGCAAATCTATTACTCGTACTGCTGAGTCCTGCTCAGCTGGATCGAGACTCCCATTGCTCAATCTACTGCCAACTTCAGTGGACTTCTCTGTACCTGGTTTTTGTACCGATTGTTGTTGTTGTTGTTGCTGTTGCTGCTGCTGCTGCTGCTGCTGCAACTGATGTTGCTGGTATTGCTGCTGCTGCGGTTGGCTTGCTGCCTGCTCAGTCTCATTCTGCCCGATCACAACACTACATTCAGAATGCCTCGCTCGCATTGCCTCTCCTGCATCGCCGCGCAATTCCCAAAACTACATCTATACTATACGACTACGCGACTGTACGACTATCATGCAAGATTATGATAGATACATTCTCGTGGATGCAGCGAATCAATGAATGACAAATAAAAAGTTATTTGTGTCACGATACTTCATAGGTTTGTTCACGTCGCAAGCTCCAACATGCTCCAACATGCTCCTACCATAGCTTCTATTTACTTTATCAAATGCGTTGGAGTAAGAGCTATAGTAGGAGCATATTGGAACATGTTGGAGCATGCGACGCGAACAAACCTCATATATCATCTAAGATAAAAATGCACCTGTTTAAATGTTACGAAAGATACGAAACATATTTACGTAAATGTTCATGAGAATTTTACATTAAATCGTATGCAGTCTTTAATATCTTATACGATATGAAACACGGAAAATGTTTCGATAAAACGATAATACAATTATAAAATTATGGCGCTAATATGATAACCATGTTAATGACAATTAAATGATAAAAAACATTAGTATTTAAGTAGATATGTACATATTACAGAAGAAATATAATTGTACACTAATTATATCAACAACGCGGATTCAATTTACGCTCTCGATCAAACTAGAATGTTACAAATTTCAATAATATAATGAAACTAAGTTTCAAGTGAAATGTCAACAAGTAAGGAAAGGAGGATGCATATGCTAAACATGAACATGCAAAATGAAAAAAATTCCATAAATGCATTTTACGATTTTCAGACAGATTTTAAACTCCTCCACTTATCCATGATCGGTGCGAAGTATGAAAAGCGTATGTATCTGTGAATGTTGGTGCGCATATGGTTCGATTAATATCGTATTGTTGATACAATTTTTTATACCTTATTCTGTTGCTGACCTTCGTCTGCTTGTCCATTCTCTTTTGGTCTATCGTCTAATACTTTTGGATGTCCACTTATTTTATATTGCTGGAACTGTAACCACACTTACATTAGATAATATTTAAATAAAATTGTCATAATTAGAATATTAAAAATCTGGTTACTAAATTCGTATATTTGGAAAGTAATAAACTATATACAAGACTTATAACACGTACCGTGCAACAAAAATAATTTTTTTTCTTCACACATAGAAACCTTAAATTGTCCGTAAAAGTAGAGACAAAATATAATACAGGCGTATACGTGACGAAACATATATTTTCATATAAAATTAGTCGCTAAATAAAAAAATGATAAAATTAAAGCAATTGAAATAAAGCAAAGTGGTGAAAATGTGTATTTTTAATTGATAATTGCTCAAAATTTTCGACCTTTCTATAATACAAAAGCGGTCATAACGCATTTCTCTTGAAGTTAGCTGCGTATAAGACCGCAGTTTAATTCAGACTTATAACACTTACAAATTATGGAAAGCTGTAGACGCGATTATTATCAATTTTTTGGGCAAGAACAGAGCTCAAAATTATAAAGAAATTGTAGCCGAAATGATTGCTTCATTTCGTAAAATAGAAGTCAACATGTCGTTGATAATTCACTTTTTGCAAAATCATTTGGATTTCTTTTTTGACAACTTGAACGATTTTAGTAACGAGTACGACGATCGTTTGCATCAAAATATTGCTACAATCGAATAACGCTTCAAAGAAAAAGACTCTCGCCAAATGATTAGCGAATACCGTTAGTCGGTTTGCCGTGACACGTAACGAGACCAACATAAACACCAAAGCAAACGCTTGTATTTTCTCATGAAATAATGTTTTTTTGTACATTCAGTTAATAAATTTCTTAACTTTACTTAACTTTAATAGCTTTAAATTTAATTTCGTTTACTTTGTTAGAAAAATGAATAATAAATGTTGCTTTTAAGTAAATCAGTCATGCAAAATACATTTTCCCATCAATATTCACAAAGAAAATCATAGAAAGGCCGAGAAAAGTAGAAATTTGAGCAATTTTCGACTAAAAATATATTTTTTCACCATTTTGCTTTACACCAATTTAATTTGATTGTTTTCTCATTCAGCGATCAATTTTACATGAAAATACATAATTTTCAGACAAACGCAAAATTTCATCTTGCGCCGCAGACGAAATGACCTCCTCTAAACTTCAAACATGCACAAAAAACACAAATGATTTGATATCGCCAAACGAAACGTATACTGGTACTAGATTTCATCTCAACTTTCACAGACATTCGATTTTTTTATGTGCAAAAAATGCTGTCGCTCATTATACAGTATAATGAGCAATTAAAGGAACTAGTTATAAATAATTTGATACTATTTTCCTTTTACACAGTCAGTCCCAAATGGCCTCCGCGAGACATCGACCTTAATCTTGACCTTCAAAGAGGTCAAAATCATTGACTTTTTCCGCCGCTTAGTGTTTATTGAAAAGTTATTACCAAAACAATTCTTATGAATGATAAATCATTTTTGAACACGAAGTACATATTTTAAAACATAAGACAGGTCAATAAGAGTATAATGCAGATTGCAACGCACAATAAACAAATTATAAAATTGATACATACATTTTAAATTCTAAATACAGAATTTCGATTTATGCATGTTTACATAAATTGAAATTTTATAAACATACATGAATTGAAACTATGTATTTAGAATTTAAAATGTATGTATCAATTTAATAATTTGTTAAATTAATTGCGCGTTGCGATCTGCGTTGTACTCTCATTGATCTGTCTCATGTTTTGTTAATTATCAGAATCTGTTAATTTTATATATTGTATGTACATATTTCAGCAGTAAAGGGTGAATCTCGTTTCACATAACGTTTCACATTTGATGTTTATACGCCCAGCAAACGAGAACGAATTGGATTGGATAAATCCGTGTGAATCAAGTTTTCAAATCCGCGTTAGCCGCGAAAAAGATATTGAATTTTGTAGAGTGAGAGACTGAATACACGGAATCCATTTCTAAATACGTATAGATAAATATAATAATATTAACTCTACTGGATTTATATAGATTCAGAAATGAAATGCTAGTCTGCTATCCCAGAAAGTGCAGATTTATCGTTGGAAGGCATGAACCGAGATGATAACAGATATATGAATCGTTTCTTCCCGAATGAGCCCTAGTATTATACTCAGAGTATACAACATTATGGATTCACGGCGACAAGGTGACTCTCGGATATAACCTGCACTATCGTGGCCAAGATTATGTCTAGAAATTGCCTTGTCGCCATAGATCTGCAATGTTACACACTCTGTATATCACACCGGAGTTTTTGTTTGGGAGGCAGCGACTTACGTATATCACCTCGATATGTGTTTTTCAACGACGAGTCATCTATATCACTTGCCGAGATCGGTGACTAGCAGTTAGTGGGTCTCCCGCCATGTTAGACAATTCTTCAATACCGTACGTTAAATTCAAACGAATTAATCGCACGTTCATTACATTGAACATTGGGTAAAATATCAAAAGTAAATTACTAACATGTAATTACAGATTCAACCGGATTGGCCGCACGTTTTGTTTTTATGCACATTGGGTGAGATACGGAAAGCAAATTCGTAATTATTGATTCATGCGGATTACGGATAGAAAACGGATTAAAAAATTCAAAAACTTGATTCATCGCTTCAATGAATAATTTTTAACGTTTTTCAATAATTTCTCGTTGCTGGGCGTACATGTTCGGATTCCTAGAGTAATAACTCTGGCAAGAAAATACATTGTCAATATTTAAGCATTATAATAGTTCTTCATTTGATTTAACAGAACAAATAAGTTATTACATGAGTCAGGAGAAATTTTCAAACATCGCTGCATAGGTATAACTTATTTATGTATCTATTATATTTATAGCTTATTAATTCAATTGGCAAAAATTTTTATTAGTTGACGAAAATGTAATAATTTTAACAATACTAATTTTATTCTTTTTCTTTTTCTGTTATTATGTAATTCTTTATTTTACAATTTTTAATAATTTTTTACAATTTTAATTCCTATATAATATTTATTGCGTTTCTTATCAGATTGACGTAACAACAATTTTACATGTGATTTGTCTCTTAATAATTACGAATTTGCCTTAATGTTTTTACTGTGTGACCCCTTGTTTCGAGAATATTTCATATCTGAGCGACACGTCGTCGTACACGAACGTGTATTTAAAAATGTGTGATCTTTATATCTGAATTTAACACATCTACGTTTTAAGTCAATTAATGTAACAAAGCTTCATGACACGCTTCATGTTCCACATGATGGTAAGTCATTTAAATTTATTTACTCATCTATCACTCTCTAATGAGATTTTTTCTAAAAATGTCATATTAACAACGCTTCAGCTTTGTCAATATTTAAGAGTGACTTAAGCATTATGGACATGTGAGCTATTTATTCTTGTATTTTTCTTGCTAAGAAGGACTCCAAAGAGAGTTGAAATGTTCAAATAAAAAAGACATCAATCCAATTTCTGAGTATTGATTATTCACTAAGTAATTGCACCGTTTATCATTGCTGACTCTCATTAGTATACTCTATTTATTTTTATATTGTTTAAAATTCGAGAGTCCTATTATAATTATTGTAATTATAATTTTATTTTCAATAAGATGTATTAAAAATAAGAAATATTAAGAATTAATTGAAGAAGACTAAGCCTATTTCATGTATCGATCAATAAGGATTTTCAAACTTGTTAATTAGCTGCAGAATAGAAAGATTCTTGGATTTTTCTGTCCTACGGCCAATCAATATGCTTAAAAAGTTTGTCGACCGACACATGATATATCAGGTTAAGGCACGTATTCACAATTCGTTCTTATTTCAAGATTATCTTAAGTAATATTTTAAGATGCTAATACACTGATTGGTTTGTTGATATCCTAAGACTGTACTTAAGTCTTAAATACAAGAATTGACTATGAATACCTAAGTATACCAGTATTCAAGTTATAAGTTGAGACAATAAATTGAATTATTTATAATTAATTCCTTTAATTGTTTGCTGTAAGCCTTGTGTGTTATTTTTTATTTATGCTTAGAATATTAAGATTTTGGTAATTACGGAGTATAGGGGAGGCCGCCCAGATCGCTTTGACCTTGACATATGTTGTCAAGGTCATGACCCTGAGTGACCTCCATCAAGTTTTAGGTGGCGCTCGCTGTCAGTTAAAAAGTAATTAACAAAAGAAGTTTAAAAAATAACGTCTCATTTCTGCTATAACGAAATCTATGATTGTACTGTTGCACATTTCAATTTTCGACGCGAAGCGACTCTTACTTCCCCTCCCCCCTGCTAAGGGGCGTATGACTTCTGTGATTGTACTGTTGCACGTGGGTTTCTACTTTCCACGCGAAGTGACTCTCACCACCCCTCCCTTCCTGCCAAGGAGCGCACGACTTCCATAATTGTACTGTTTGCAGGGGGGGAGATGAGGTGAGAGTCGAAGGTGAAAGTCGTGCGCCTCTTTGCAGGAGGGAAGGGGGGACGAGAGTCGAGGGTGGAAGCCACCTAAAACTTATTGGAAGTCTTTCAGGGTCATGACCTTGACCACATATGTCAAAGTCGTAGTTGTCGGCGCGGCGTCTCCTACAGTGCATGACTATCAAACATATTTTAAAGCAGGTAATTTTCGTATTATATAGTTGAACTTCTTTTGTTAATTACTTTTTAACGGACAGCGAGTACCACCTAAAACCCGGTGGAGGTCACTCAGAGTCATGACCTTGACAACATATGTCAAGGTCAAAGCGATCTGGGCGGCTTCCCCTATACTCCATAATTACCAAGATTTTTAACATCTAGAACTTTAAAATTTTGTATATAATGAGAGATAAAAACCTCAATATTTTCAGTGTCACCTTTCTAAAAATAATCCAGTAAAAATATCAAGAATGTAAACAGTAAAATAGGATTTTTCTCTGACAATCCAGAAATATTCCACTGATCTTCAGCGTAAGTACTCACACTTTGCTCCT